TTCTTCTGTCAAAAACATGCTTAGCAGTGCCGTAGTATATCCTCAGTACAACTTTACGGCAATTTCATGGAGTTTTCAGCAAGATAAATGACTTCGAAAATGAGAGGTGATCCCCTGGGGATCCCCAGGGGATCACTCAAACTGGTGAAAATCTAATCAATTATGCCAGTAACCTGGCATCCATTATGCGTAGGTATCAGGGTATGAGAACCTTCATATCACAGAAAAAGAAGGAAGAAGAAAGGTATACAGAGTAACGAAATATGACGCTTCCCCTCTCAGATCCCCTCCCCTCCCCGCGGGGATGTACGTGCATACGGGCCTTAATTCTTTATTCAGTCCCATAAAAATAAAGATCAACAGCTCCCTTAAAGTGGTAAGTCGACATAAGGTTAAAGATTGCATTTTAGACTCCTGCGATTGCTTCCCGTAGCTGCTCTCATCTCTACATTTCACACGCTGTGATGCAATACATTGAACGGCGTTGTACAATGATCAGGTAACAACGTAAGCTCAATAACCGCACGTGATCTTTGTGAAATATACTCCAAAGTTTGAATACAGGTTGATAATCACTTTCTGTACAACAATCGAAACTGGCAACATCAATGGAGAGACCGATATCAATAATGTGCACACCTGATTATGTTGAACAAAAACCTCTTGTTCTCTAAAAAAAACGATGCTGGGTTGTCTATTATGCCGTGAGCGCACCTGAACAAAGGCCTGGCATACTCGTGAGTTGGTCATTCGCTTTAGAAGCAAGAGGTGAAAGGTCAGAGAGAAGGCGCTTAAAAATTGCACTTTCACTTGAAAACTGCATTCATAGAGAAAAGATGCGAATATGCTATAATCGTTCTTTGAATGCGGAAAAAAACTGCAAATGAAGAACAAGTCTGTGAAAAGGAAAGACATAACGTACATTCATATCAATGAAGATTCAAATTTTGAATTGTGAGCCCTAGCACTGCTAATTGAAATGTTACCTTAATTCTAATTCGGTCCCACGAAAACAAAGATGAACTGCTGCACAGTTACAAAATGGTAAGCTGATAAGATAAGATAGACAAGAATGCTTGAAAGGCAATGATATCAGTTTGTTTCAAATGTGTTTAATGTTGAAACACAACCGAGAAAAAGTTGAAAAATGTAGTGCAGTACATGTAGTTCATTGTCCAGTGGTACAATGGAGATAAGTATAGTAAAGCGCAAGGAACAAGCAAGTTTTGAAGTTCGTGGTAAACTGCATAGCCGTTGCAGGCTTTTATTAGGTTGTGTAATAAGTTCTGTCCCATTTCTTCTTTCGATTTTTTCGCAGTATTTCGCACGGTCTTTTGCAAAATGTATATATGCATTTGAAGCTTTGAGTTTACTCTACCAAAATCTTCACTCTTCATCGGTGAAATGTGAAAAGTTTCCCAGCATCAAGCTTGGAAAACCAAAGAGGAAAATCGATTTTCGACAATTAATTTGAACCACCCTCGTTTAGGTCTGAATGCTTACAAAACTCGAAAAATCTGCTGAGCATAAGGAAGAAATGCTGTAGCTTCGCAGAGATTCAAATTACAGAAAAGTTTCAATGAACTTTTATTAAAACTCAAAGAAAATCTTCTTAATGTTTCTACAGTGTTGACGTTGGGATCTGAAGGCAGTCCTGAGAGGACGGTAGACGCATAATCCAGAAACAGTAGGGATCGTCTTCGCCTATAAAATCATTGAATTTACAAGTTAGCTACTCAAAAATTTAATGTTTGGGAGACACATAGCTCAGGTGGGCAAGGCGATATATCGCCACTTCAAATTTTGCTCTGCCGCCTTCTGGAAAAATAGAATTGAAAAGTCGGTAAAGGGAAGGGAACAAGCACAAACAATGCCATTACAATTATACGAGTCTAATAGGTTGTTCTATTTGTTGTCAAGCTTGTTGAATAAAAACTACCAATGGAAAACGGGAAAATTTGGAGAGAAAAAAATGTCGGAAATGGTTTTTTTGCCTCTTTGGATTTTTTCTTTTGATGCCGTTATCGTCTTCAATATCCTACTAATTTGGGGGATGAAGCACACTAGTTTGCAGAGCAGACTTAGAGCTTTCAAAAGCATATGCAAATCGGAAGAAAAAATGGGACAGAACTTATTACACGACCTGTTACTTCCATTTTTCTTATTCTATCTTCACTTTCTAGCCTCGTCGAAATCTTAGTTTGAACATTAGCGATTTTAGTTTTTTTTTTGAAAAATCAACTTTTTCCATCGACAATTTTTTGTGATTTTCAACGATATTCTAGATTATTGATAGATTATTGCGTTGTTTGCAAACAAAGCATGTTCTGTTTGCTAGCGCTTTAACGTAGATGTAAGGGTCAGAAAACACAATGTTCGACAGAGCAAAACACGCTCTACAAGACCTCATGTCAACATTGCAAAATTCAGTACGTAAAGGTTTGGAAGCAGACTGTTCACCACTGGTACCGCTGAGTGAGATTTGTTCCAAAGTAGTGCTAGCACTCATTATTACCAGATACTACCCATACCCACAAATGCACTCTGAAGGAAGTTTTCAAGGTAAATTGTACTCTGAGAAAGATTCAGTGTTGAAGTACTATGAGGTAAATTCTAACTTAGGTTATACGTTTGTGCAAGTAGTGAGCGTGTCTTACTCTGTCACCGCAGAAGAAGATATAGAAATGCATGGTGCATAGCATTCGATAAAGCAAAGCAAGGTCTACAAGATCGCATTCAAACAATTGTAGAAATAAGTTCTCCGTGAGTTTGGATAAAGAATCCAAATTTTTTTCCTCTATTAAATGGTATGCGCCATGAATTTTTATATCTTCTCTGCCCGGCAGGATAAGGAACGCTCATTACTTCTGCACCAATCTGATATACAAGGTGTCTTTAAAAGATGTGGACACTATTTGATCGTTAATAACTCTCTTGCTTTCAAGTCTTTCGCCGAGCTTGAGGCACCATTCTGTAGAACGAGGTTCAACTTGGATTGCCAGCATGAAGCGAATTATAAATCTCTCTTTATTACTGTAGGACTACAGTAGGAAGTTCGAGGAGGATTTTAAGCCGTTAAAAGCGGTATTTTGTCTCAGAAGAAAGCAAACAAGCCAAAAACTCTTTAATTGGGCTAATCCAAGTCACTGATTTCAAATACAAATTTGCACTTCAGTATAATGCTTTTTTTCATAAGTTATCTCAGATTTTGGGGCTGCAGCTGTTTCTTCAACGTTCGTCAGAAATTAGACTAGGCTATCAAGAGAGCTCCAGAAACTGGCGAAATGCTATGCAGTAAAATCAGCACTCCTGAAAACCTTGCTACATTGATTTTCAGATATTTTTGAGAATATTTCACCAAACGGCCTATTCCACAGTGACAGTGTATGCTGAAAGTCCATACAATACCGCTCATAATTCGTCAAAAAAGTCGCCGAACTGCGGCGCACTCCGCCACACTCCGCCACAGTGCGCCGGAGTCTGGCAGAGTGCGCCGGAGTGCGGCAGAGTGCGCCACACTCCGCCGCAGTGCGCCGGAGTGTGGCAGAGTGCGGCGGAGTGTGGCAGAGTGCGCCGGAGTGCGGCAAAGTGCGCCACACTCCGCCGCAGTGCGCCGGAATGATCGTCAATTTAGCCATATCTCGCTTCAGAATGGACGAATTCTGAATCCGAGGACACCGTTCGATTCAGCTCGACGAGACGCATCATCTTATATATGAAGCTGAACTTCTGTCTGTTTGTCTGTACGTGTGTTCCGAATAGAAAAACCCATTTCTGAACCGATCCGGACCAAACTTGGCACGCATACACTTCGGGCACCGGCGGATGTCATAGGCTACTTTTCTTCATCGATCGATATCGATTTTATCGATTTTTAGCGATTTTTTGCAGAGTTCACCTATGGGGCTGGGAGTTTGCATAGGGGGGTAATCGAGCATGGGGATTCCGAATACAATATTAGTTTTCGATTATCGATTACTTTTATCGATTTTATCGATTTTTTTTGCAAAGTTTGAGCTACGGGGTGGGAGTTTGCACAATCACAATGGTAATCGAGCATGGGGATTCCGAATACAATATTAGTTTTCAGATTATCGATTATTATTATGGTTGAATTCAGTGTGCTGATAACAGTATCAACATTGATCTGTCGCTGATGACACATAGACAGTATACTATAGGAGCATGGTAGAGAGCCGCTCTGATCGAATTTGTTCTAAGATCTGCTCAAGATCACAATACCGCGCACAGAATGTCAAAATTTCCGTGAACTTCGCGGAATTCCGGGATTTCCACCAAAGTGCGTGATAATCCGGGAAGTTCGCGACATTTCAGGATCCGCGAAACCATGCGAATCACGCAGAGAACGCAACGTCATAACATCCTTCGGAATGAATATATTCCGAATCCAGAAGCAGCATTGTGTTCAGATCGTCGAGGCAAATATTTTGATACAGTATGCTCTCGATATTCCATTTCCAGTTTTTTTCGAATTTTTTTCTGTGGAGGTCTTTTCGCAAGGATGTAACGCAGCGTCTGTGTAACATAAAAGATTCCAGTAAGCACTGTTCGATAGTACTGTCCTTGTAGATTATCGTGCGTTCAAGAGTAGGTGCAGACTGTCTCCCAAAAGAGACAGAAGCATTGGTGAATTTTTTAAGAATCACGCGTTTCTAAATTCTACTCGCCGTAACTTCCTTCGGAATGAACATATTCTGAATCCGAAGAGAGCTTTGTGCTCAGTTCCGCAAGGCAAATCTTTCGATATACCCATATCCTTGATATTCCGATTTCAATATTCTCAAATCTTTCTGTAGACGTCTTTTTGTGAAGGTGTAAAGCAGCGCGCATTGCTCCTATAGACTCCAGCAAGGAACTTTCGATAGTACTTTTTCTGTAGATTACGTAGCCTTAAAAAGTAGTCACAGGCATCTTTCCATAGGAGTTAGAAGGGCTGGTGAATTCTGGAAAAATCATGTCGTTCTAAATTTTTCTCAACGTTACTCTAAAATACTCCTACGTTACTCTAAAATATGAAGCTCTCTTGCTAAGCAGATGTGATTTTCGTAATCAGCAGGTCGGATAACCCTTATAAGCAAAGTTTCCAAGATGTTCGAGTAATTTCATTTTTTCTCGTTTTACGCTCTGAAGCTGCCCGATGGATTTTGGTCAAAATGTTCATGCCAGTACTCTGCGTTGATACCACTGCT